AATTGAAGGAACCCACAAGAAGAATCTTACTCTGCTGCTCCTGGTAATATGAAGGGAAGTTTTTCTGAATTGGTTTAAAAATAAATCTTCCTAATTGCCTAAGAGTTATTTAGGATTCATCATATGACTCCTTAAATCAAACTATGTACTGCAGCTTTACATTTTCAGAAGCTGAGGAACAATACATTCTTCATTAAGATTATGCATTCTACTAAATATAAAGAGGGCTTGGGTTGGCTGTTGCTAAGTAGGAGAGGGTAGCCAGGGAGGTGTGACCACAATCACAGGGAGGCTCAGGGAGGGTGCACGGATGGGGAGAGGGGGGAAACAGGGACTCACCCAAGCAATTTGTGATCTTCCTTGCTGGCTTCCCTACTGAGTATACTTGTGGGAAGCTGACAGACAGTCACAAATCACAATCATGTAACCAAGGGACACTGCAACAATCCTAAATGCTCACATTGCAGTCACATAACCACAGAGGTGCTGCTATAGCTGGTTATATCAACCACTTATTCAGGACCATTGTAAACTGCAAACAGTTTCTGAATGAGTTAACTGAGAACTACCTGTATTATATATTCTAATATTAGGTCTTCTGGCAAAGGCCAGCACCTAATCAAAAACATTATTTTGCACAGAAACAATTGTCCATAAAATACCACCTACATAAAAATTACTATTTGAATGTCATAAGCAGATTATTAAGATGTCTACTTTAAAGCAGATTTAACTTGGCTGTTTTTTGTTGCTGAACTAAGGCAATCCATAAAGCAGTCCTGGTTGACTTCGCTGAATTTATATCTGTTTAAAGAAAAGTTCAAAGTTATAACTTGCCTCATATTGAGTAATTTTTGTGGATATGATACTAAGAAGCTGAGTTAGTTTTCCTGAGGATTAATTATCTTCTAGAATAGGTAGAAATGTGTTGATAGGAAGATTATTCATATACCTTCTATTTTATGAATGAAAGATAGCTATAACAGAAAGAGACTAGAAGACCTCCAAGGTCCCTTCCAAACTCTGTTATTCTGTCTTCTGTAAAGAATTTTTTGTGTATATTTCTACTGAAGTTACCCAATTATAAAGATAGCGCTCTCCATACAGGAGTTTTATTCTTATTAAAATGAAAAGTAGTCCTGAAATTTCTACAAAATGTAGAGAACCATATGATATACAGGAATATAAAAGTGAAGTAGTATTGTGCAGTTGCAGATAAGCCTCCTAGCCAGCTGAAATGGCCAAGTTGCACCTGAAATGACACTACACAGGGTGGTGGAATTAGTAAACAACCATAGTCTCTCTCTGAACAGAATAGGGGAGGATGGGGGGGATGTTTTACTTTTCATTTTGGAAATCCCATTGAAATCAGTATGTTTGATTCCTATAGTGACTGCTCTCTGCCTAGTTTAGCTTTCTGTTGACAGTAAGTTCACGTCTCCATTTTGGATGGAATTTGGAGATGCCATGCTTTGCTCCTCCTTTGCCCCCCTTCTGACCCCTTCTTGTTCCTATACGTTTAGATCAGCAGATAGAGCTTTTCAGATAGGAAAAGCTCTTACTCTAATCCCATCTAGCAGTCATAGTTTCAACTACAATTGCAACCTTAATCCTGAAGCATTCAATTATACGACAGACACCACAGCTTGTTGTTAAAGATCCGTAGTTGTAATGGCATGTGGGAATGACCTTGGGAGACAGGAGGAAGAGCCATAGCCTATACAACCATCATGCAAAAGGTTTCTCAGCCCACAGAAGGAAAAGGGATATGTCTCAGAAGAGATCCTCCCTAGTTTTCTAGAATGTAAAAGCCAAAGAGGGAAGAAGTAACTACTACCACAATTCTATAACTCTGTTACATGTATTTTACACATACACAAGTGGCTTACATTTGTGGCAATGACCAAAATCATTGTTTACTAATCAAAACTGATTTTGATTACTATGAATTAATGTAATTCACCAACGTCCGATAATGGATATGGCACAAGAAGAAGAAGAATGAATTAATGTAATATAAGAATTATACTTTTTTTGCAACTTAAATTATGATCCAGGTTTAGGATTGTCAGAATAGGGTATCAATAATAGTTCACATTTATTTCCTGTTCTGCAACATTTCTCTCTGTATAAGGAGTTATTTGTTCCAAAGTCATATTCTTCTCTCTCAGCTGCATTTCTTTAATTCTCCAGATATAGGCACATGTATGATGGAATGCTCTCCTTGAAGAGTTCTCTCATATCTGGGAGATGAAATGCAATTCTTCTCTTTGACACTGAATTTTCTAGGTAAAAGGTTTGCTAATTAATTTATCTATGAGAAACAGCATAAAGTCTTAGTATATTTGAAATTACATGTCACTATCACCAACTCTTAATTAAATAGGATAGAGAGGGGAAAGTGCATGTAATTTTGCCACCACCGGGGAGGGATAATCCGAGGCTCCAGGATTGCATCTGAATCCCAAAATAATTTGACTAGATGCCTATCAAAGTTGTTACCCAACTGGAATATTTTTAATGTGACAGAAAGGAAAAATATTAATGCATCTACTGCTTTTATTACTTGTCTCTCTGAAGTAGTGTATTTGTTTATTACTCTGACCTGACTAAGGAATCTTCAGATTTGTGTTTTTAACATGAAAATACAGAACAAGCAAAAATTTCTCAATAATAACAATTCAGCATATCTTAATATACACGAAATGACAGATTAAAAGTATGGGATAATTTAGAATGGCAAAACACCACAGCTTTCCTTAAAACACAAAGAACATCATCTTAACTCAAAAATTAGTGTGAAAAGAAAATGTTTTAGTCTCTAAAAGGTATTAAGTATCTTAGCAAAATAGATCCAACTGGCCTTCAGACTTCTGCATCAAAATTACAGCTAGCCTCATTTAGTCACTGTTTCATACAATTGAGCATTTGCAGTCACAGTGATGAAAAATAACTTTGTGACTAATCCTCACATTTATGACCTTTATGATCTGTAAAGCAAAGGAAAGCTGAAGAAAGATCATAAGCATACTTGCAGTTTCATTTAGTGACTATTTTGATTAACGACTGAATTCCCAGTCCCAACTGTGATCACTAAACAAGGACTCTCTGGAGTAAAAGATTATTTCTCTCACTTCAAAATGATCCTGAACAAGGGGCCTAGCATTTTTGTTGCAAACCTGGTGTGTATGGAATACACCAATTCACCCATAAAATTTCTTATGAAGATATACTCAGTTTGTGGCTTATAAAAATGTTTATTATTGTATTTTGTGCTACCTCCCTATTTTCATGTGAACTGAACAACTGAGACCAATCACATTTACATTCAGGTTTGGCACTCATCTTCAGCATGATCACTTTTGGTGAAGTCAGTTATCAGTGTTGCCAAACCAGGAATTGTAAACACAACCTACTGAATACGTGTCTACATGGCATTCTATCTAAATATATCTTACCTCCTTGATTCTCTTAGCACTTACATAATAAAAAGCAGTGCTAGCATTTATAATATTGAACTTTGATTTGGTGGCCATCAAGAATTTGGCAGGTTGGTCTTCAATCAATCCTTTTACAAAATAGCTAATTTTTTTTTTTTTGCTAAAGTCCATAAATATATTGCTTTCTAAGTTTCTTGGTAGTATAAATTGAATGAAAAATTAAGATCACACTTTTTAAAACAACTGTAAATAAGAAGAAAGATGGTGAGAGGGAGGATTTTTGACCTTTTTTCTTGCAATTATTGAGGAAGAACTGCAGAAGAACATGTCTTGTAGAGCTATTTTCCCTGGAAAAAAACGGCCATTGACATCCACTACTCTACCCTGGGCAGTTTGTTAAAGTATGCATATCTATGTGATCCCATTTGGATAGAGGTTTTTATTTTTAGGAAATCATACAAAACTAATCACCAACTAAGTCTATTTCTAACTAAGTCTATCCTAACACTTTCACTTCAAAACAATTTCCCTTATTATTTTATGCTGAGATATTTGTTTTATGTAATCTTAGGTTATTTGGACAACTCTATTCTTATGACTGGATTGATGTAGTGCACCCTGGAGATTTCTGGAAGTTTCACTATTAGCACATCTGGATAATAACAGATTGGAGAAGATGGTCATAGGTTTCCTCTGCTTGAAAGTCTTCCACTGTAGTTGGAGTGGATTTAGAAATAAAAATAATCTAACACTGAAATCTAGAAAATGCATGCATTAAAGATATATACATTAACTTTATGTAGCTAGATTTTTTTTCTTCAACTACATATCTCTGCTCTTATTCAACTTTATGCTAGATACTGAAATATAAGGTGACAAATGACTCTGATACCAGGCACACAACATACTTAGCCAATAAACAGAAATGTAATAATTAGCAAGCATACACAATTTTTTGTTTTAAAAAATCAGTGCTCCATATAGTGCCATATATGATTTTATACTCACAGTTTTAAATATCTACGGCAGTATAATATTAAGGAGGTTGCTCTATGGTTTACAATGTACACCATATGTCTCATTAAAAATTTAGCAGTCCAACACAAAATAAAAAAATCTGCTACTAATAAGCAGAAATATGAACCCAGTACTATTTAAATGAGTAGTTTGCAAAGCATAAGCAAACCTCACTGAGTTGGTATAGTAAATTTATTCATTTCCCCCCCTCTGGTTTCATAAATATAGAGAGAGATATTAGAGGATGGAGGGAGGGGCAGATAATGAAAATCCCGAAAAACTTTTCTTCAGGAGCAAATCAGGATTGTTGGGAAAAAGAAACAAGAACACAAGAGCTTTAACTAGAAATTTGAAAAGCCTCAATAGCATAATATGCATTCTATAACTATTTGGAAAATATTAGTGTAGGAATGGGATATGTGTTAAGAAAATATGATAACATGCACATATCAGCATTGATTCAATGCATTATATGGCTGGGATACTGTGGCAATCTGCCCGTTTAAAATTTGCTAGAAATGAATCAATCATTCAAGTACATACACATTTGAATGCGTATTTGAAATCTTATTGGAGGCAACCTTCATCCAGGAAAAAGTGTTCATGAAAGATCTGGAGAGGAACAGAATTGTGGAAGTTAGCAGAAAAAAGTAAATACACATGTTTCAATCAGTCAATAAGAAAGGTAAGGACATACAATTCAAGCATATGTGTTGCATTAAAATTACATGCAATGAGTAAAGATTATGACTAAACAAACAGTGTTGTTCAGCCTTGTTTGAAACATAATATGTTGTTGAACATTATATACACTACACTCTTAAAACCAGAAACAAGAAAGCAAGGGCTCCAGAAATTTTTCATTAGCAAGTACACTTTTTCCAAAATAAATATATTGGAATTTGTAGTTCCTTTAAGTTATCAGCACAGGTTTGCTTCATCTAATAATTACTAGAACAATTCCTTTTTCTCTCCAAGATGATACATTATCTTTAGAATTCTATGACAATGGAAAAGAAAGCTAGAAAAAAAAATTCACAAACATATTTGCCTCTTTTCTCTTATAATAAAGATAAATTAAATACTTGTTTGCAAACTCAGTACTGACCTCACCTTCAGGCACAAATCTAATAGATTTCTAACATTCACACCCAGATTCTAAGCAAAGCTAAAATTGGCTATTTGCTATTTTTCTGTGACTACCAGAACCATAGAAATAATGGGGCCAATCACTTTGCTAGCTGTTAGATTTTCTCAATCTGTACCTACCTAAGACTTGTAGAGGAGGTCAGGCCTAGGCTCTGACACAGAGAAAACAAATGAACAATATAAAGAAAAACGTATGTAGTGAAAAGGACAGCAGTAAAGAATATTGGGGAAAGCTCCAAATTATACTACCGGTACATCAATTTTTCTCAATCTCAGCAACATTAAGATGTGTGGATTTCAACTCTGGGAGTTGAAGTCTACCTACCTTAAAGTTGCTGAAAAAAATTGGGCTAAGTTATTGAATTTATCTTCTCATTAAAAAAAAATAGATAATTGCAATGTTTCAAATCCCATATTGATGATACTATTATATGAGTAGATCTTGACTTATTTATTTATTTATTTATTTATTAATTAAATTTATATACCGCCCTATTCCTAAGGGACTCAGGGCGGTGAACAGCGAACGATAAAAATACATGTAATACAAACGTTAATAATAAAAAACCAATTAAAATATACTAAACATTCTGGTCCTAGATAATTCAAGATATCCCAGTTTAAAATAAAATCAAAAAGCAATATAAAGGGAAAGTTAGGCCAGGCCGGCCTGCTGAAACAGGAATGTTTTGAGGGCACGGCGGAAAGTGCGCAGATCCGGAATCTTCTGTATCTCTGGGGGGAGCTCGTTGCAGATGGTGGGTGCCCCCACAGAAAAGGCTCTCCCCCTGGGGGCCGCCAGTCGACATTGTTTGGCTGACGGCACCCTGAGAAGCCCCTCTCTATGGGAGCGTACTGGGCGGTGAGAGGCTATTGGTGGCAGAAGGCGGTCTCGTAAGTACCCCGGTCCTAAGCCATGGAGTGCTCTAAAGGTGGTAACTAAGACCTTGAAGCGCACCCGGAAGACCACAGGGAGCCAGTGCAGCTCGCGCAGGAGGGGAGCCACATGGGAGCGCCATGCTGCTCCCATAACTACCCGCGCGGCCGCATTCTGGACCAGCTGGAGCCTCCGGGTGCTCTTCAAGGGGAGCCCCATGTAGAGTAAACTTATGACTGTTTAACAGTTACAATGGCTTCAGAAAAAAAGGATTTATGATCTGTCCAACCCACTAGTCACATGATCATTATTTGGGTATTTATGACCAGTTGCAGTATCCTGCAGTCTCATGATTTTCTGATTTGCGAGTTTCCCAACTGTTTCCCACAAAACTATCAATCTGGTGAGCTGGATTCACTAATGATCATGTGATTTGCTTAACAACTACATGATTCACTTAACAATTGTGGTGATTTGCTTTACAATCATGGTAAAAATGTGTCTCGTTACACAATGACTCAACTTACAAATGCACTAAATAACTAGGGGAATTCTGGTCTCAATTGTCTTTGTAAGCTGAGGACTACCTGTAGTAGTTCTATACTGTAGTCAAACCCACATCTTTCGAGGAATTGTACAGACCATTAAGGAATCCCTAGCTACCATTTCAGTCTCAAAGCTGAGGAGAGAGACACATTTTGGGGGGAAATATATTCTCCAACTTTGAGGATAATCATAAGGATGATCCTCTGGCTATGAGGCACTGAATATGATTAGTCTGTTTCTGAAGCTCTCTACTTCATCTGCAAATCTAAGAATGTACCATCATGACATAATTAGAACACAAATACTTTTCTGATGGTAAATGCTTAGGGGAAGAGCTGTGGAAAAGTTGCAAATGGGGACCTCTGGGGGAAGGGAAATCCATTTTATTGTGAAACGTAGCCCAGTATCTTCTTAAGCAGTTGGCCGCTGCAGGTAATTTCATATTTTCAACCAAGAAAAAGCAGAGGTTTGTAATAAAAGAAAAAAAAAGTCAAGTTTTGATTACAATAGTAACAGAAAATATATATTTGTGAGATACTTTATATTGACCCAATCACTGAAAGATGGTGAAAGTGAAGTCTAACTGATCATTTGTTCTGTAGTTTCTTTCAAAAATATTTCAAATATCTGGAATTTGTTTGTTTTAGAAGCAGCTTTCCCCAGCTTGGTGCCTCCTGCAAACTTTTTAACTGCAATCCAGCATCACCAACTAAAATCCACTTCAACTGGAGGGATCAATTTATTGTAGGTTATCTCACATTATGTCGATAACACAATCAACATTGCACTGACATTTAAGGGACACATATATTTGTTTCAATTAGGTAAGATATAAAGTCTATAATATGAATAGTGTCTCTGAGCTGAAGTGTGAACCTTCATTTCATGATAAAATTAATATAACAGGGAAGACTTTCATTTTGAGACAATTCTCCAATCTAGCAACAATTTCTTTAATGTGAGATGAAAGCATTTTTTTCTTTTTATGACACTCTAATCCCTTTTTATCAGGATGGAGTTGGGGTGATTGAAAGGAGCTGAACATTTACTAGCTGGATACCCTTCCTGATGTCTACGCGGAGTTCACAGCAGATATGTTCTCTTTGCGCCCTGATAGAGAAACATCTGCCACTGTCTGGGATTGAACTCTCAACCTCTCAATTGTGAGGCAAGTGTCTTCACCTTTAGGCTACCATGCCGCTCTAATGTGAGATGGCAGCAATAATACCTGTATATAAGGAAACTCATGTAGAGGCTGAGGTCCATCTGTTTTCCTTGGATTCATATAATTAATGATGTCTAACCCTAAATTTGATACCTATAAGCTGTTGGGACTACATGTTTTCTCCTACAGTCCCCTTATTCTCTGTGTGAAAAAACTGAAAATACTCAGCTATTCTTGGCATTAACTAATTAGCCAATATATAAAACTATAAAAGTGGTAATTAAGAGTTAACTGACAGGGTTAGGGACCTAACCTTTCTATTGTAACTGATTCCCGTAATTCTTTGATCTTGGGAGTTGTAATGCAGACTCAGAAATGACAAATACAATAGGCTAATTCTTTCTAAGCAGCATATCTGTTCAGGCAAATTCATGGAAAACTTAATTTCTCCCCAATGGAAAATACCTCCATATGAAAAGACTGCCTTAAGATGATAATATTCTTTTTCTGAAGGATCACCTCTCAGATATATTCCCACACATATACACCCCCCCTAAAAACAAACAGAAATAAGAACAGCGTTAATCCAATGCATTATTTTTACATTAAGAATCTTGTCAAACTGATCAAATTAGTCACTGTAAGCTTTATGTCTTAAGTAAACACCTCTCCATTAACTAACTGTTGCTATTTCATAGATATTGACATATATCAATCCAACCACACAGCCTGTAGTCCTAGGAGCAAAGTCGGTCCCCCCATTTTTTGTGTGGTTCCTAGAGACCCTTTAAGGATTACTGCCTGGTGGCTCAGCAGACTGATAGCATTGTGATTAACACCAGCTGTCTGCAATTACTGTAAATTCGAATCTCACCAGGCTCAAGGTTGACTCAGCCTTCCATCCTTTCTAAGGTAGGTAAATTGAGGACCCAGTTTGTGGGGGCAATAAGCTGACTTTGTATAAATATACAAAAGTATGAAGGCTATTGCTTAACGCATTGTAAGCCGCCCTGAGTCTCTGGAGAAGGGCGGCATATAAATCAAAATTAAAAAAAAATATATAAAATTCAATGTGAGAGAAAACTGATGAAACATGTAAGGAGTTTACCTTAATTTAGTTTACCTTAATTTACAGTAGATGTAATTAAATTGAGCATACATTACATTTCATTTTTGTCCTCAACTTTCTTACTTTTTTGAGTATGGTTTATGGCAGAGCTTTGGAAGTTAAAAATGTAACTGTAGGCCAAAAAGGCTGCACCTTTCCATTATACTTAGTCGATTGGAAAGGAGCCAAACTATAACACCATTTTTTTTAAAAAGAAATTGAACAGCTACAAATAGTAGCTGCAGCCAATTAATGGAAAATGAGACATTTTAGCAAAATAGAAAACAAAATATCTATCAATTAAGATTCAAACATTCTTTCATTGTAATGTTATTACACAAATATTGTTGTCAACATTTAGCATTAAGTTATTTGCCGTTTTGGAACTACTCAAGTTATTCACAGAAGAATTAACTACAAGGGTTAATAAGTACATCGATGTTCAAACATTTAAAACTAATACTCAGCAAAAGAAAGTATGCCACTTGCCTCTTTGGTTATTAGCCAGGCTTTTTGACAAGCAGCAATAAATATTAACAGATCTTTTTAAAAAAGAAAATGAATAGTAACATAAAACTACATAGTTAGTTATACATAAAATTATTACTGCAGTAATAATACTGTAGTTTCTAAATAGTTAAGCAGAGCCAAATCACAATCCTTAATCCATTGTGATCTAGAAAATATTGCTTTTACAAGGAGTAGATGTTAACAGTTCAGTTTTCTTCCTCTCAATAGTTTAGTCAGTTAGTGCTTTTCCTCCATAT